TAGCCTGTATAATAAATATGTATAAAATATGCCACCTCCGACAACAGCTGCTGTATCCTGTTTATTTGAATATATAACACGCTTCACCAGCAGGGGGCAGCAGCGGGAGGTTTGTGTACTGTACCGCAGCTCAAAGAAGAGAAGCTGTACGTGGACCAATGAGAATCGAGGGAAAAGTAGCAGAAGCTTTCGGATGTCTGCGGGAACTGTCAGAACAGGTGAAGGCATCGCTTCGGTTTCACAGCTGCTTTACTGTTGCTGGGACTGGTGAGTGTTTGCTAACCTAAACGCTGTCGCCATCATGGAGCAGTCCTTGGTCGCAGCTTTTCTGGTTCCTCGGGATTTGGGGACTCTTAGCTGTCAGCTGTTATAGCGTTACTTACGTGCTCATTGTGTCGCCTAGAAATGCAAACATGTGTAGAGCTATCATTGTGTTACTTTTTTGGTAGCCAATCTGTAAAGACGCTCACAGCCCGGTGAGTCACGCCAGACTCTATTCAACATCTTGACTTTTTAAATCGACATATTTCTCAAAGCAGATTATCACCAGAGACTGAACAAAAAGTAGTTTATTCCCATTTTTCTGTTAAAACATGAGATTAGAGAGTGGAGTTTTGCCTAGGGCTGGAGAACAGTAACAATGACCAGTGGTGTAGTGGTTAACCCTCCTCGTAAAGCTCATGCAGCACCTGAAGGTAGCGATAATTCTGACACGCCATGCTGTGTATTCCAGTCACCATGAAGCTGATACCCTTTCATGTCGGGGGAACCTCCTTCAGCCTGGCCGTCCTCTTGGTGCTGCATTGCTGTCACATCGCCAGCATTCTTGGCCACAAGGTAGGTTAAACCTTTTGCTCTGATAAGGTGTTTAAAGCTCTCAGATGTTCTCGAGCATGTCATTTAGTTTCGCTGCACCTGTGATAAGATGGATTTGGCAGCAGTGATGGGTGGGAAAGAGCTGCTGATCAAAGCCTGGCTGTAGGCAAACTGAAGACTCATGAGAACATCCACGCGTGTTTCAGCTGCAGCTGGAATTAGTGGTGTGATAAAAGCTGTTACCTTTTAACAGAGGTAACCCTCACTGGTAACCAGTGTTGGTCAAGTTACTTGAAAAAAGTAATCAGTAACTAATTACTGATTACTTCCCCCCAAAAGTAATCCCGTTACTTTACTGATTACTTATTTTCAAAAGTAATTAGTTACTTAGTTACTTTTTAAAAACACGATTTACAACCTGAATAGGTGATAAAGTGATAGATCTTTCAGCCCAATAACAACAACTTTTTCTGCATAATCCATCATACAAAATGTAATCAAATGGAAAAGTAATCGGATTACAGTAACGCTACTGCCCATCTCTGCTGGTAACAAATGAAGACATCAGTGTTTTTATGGCAGTACACCATAAATGACAGTATCTTGTACCAGGACTCATGCAAAGAATAAAAATTAAGGGCTGCAAATCAGCAGAATTGGTCTCCTTGTTTTACACGCTAAAAGCCATAATGCCTTTTGTTCTGTGCACTGTCGCTTCTCAAGAGGAGTGTGACTCATAGTCTAAAGGGGCTTTGCATGATCAGTAACACTAAAGAAAAGAAAGGCGCTGTATAAATGCTGGTATATTTCCATGAAGGTAATTAGCCTCTTTAGAGAGAACTTGGAGTGCTCGTATGCTGATGTAAGAGCTATGAAGTGAAAATAAAAAACAGTAGCAGTTTAATAATCAAGCACCATCAGAAATTACATCTGAGTTTGAATGAAACCCAAAGAAAGGTGTTTGTCATTAAACCAGGGAGGTGTCTAAAATTCTTCCCATGTTTCTCTTTGTGCAGTCTGGAGGCGATTTAATCGTGGTGGAAAACACAGAACATGAGGCTGTAAACGGTGAAGAGGAAGATGTGGCAGTAGATGATGTGGAAGATGATGAAGGAGATTTAGACGTTGTCCAGCCCAGTGAGCAGTGGCAGACACTTAAACCAGGTAATGCCCTCAGTGTTTTCCTTCACAGGGCTTTTTCTCTGGTTCAGTCCTAAGATAAATACAACTTTGTGTATGATCCTTCAGATGAGGATAGATTATATATAGATGAAGCCTCCATATGGAATTTATTTGATCCTCCTTTCATGTAACCTCACAAAGATTGTTAAATTTTCTCTATGCAAAATCATCATTTTAGTATCTGTGAAGTTTAATCGTACCAACACAGTTATTGTGATAGACAGTATTTTGTTAAATAACCATTATTGATGCAACAATCAACAGTTTTCCATGTTGCAGTTCCTTTGGTGGCTCCAGAAGGGAGTGAGTCTCCATGGATGTCCTGTTAATACGGCCAACGAAACAGATGTTTAGTCTCTTACAAGCTCGTAACAAAGTGTTGTCTGGTTCCCCCTTAAACCTAGCTGGTGTTTTTTCTGCTTGAATGATTCGGTGTTAAGTGGCTTAACAAACCAAAAGGTACAAAGTCTAGAGTCTAGACTCTAGACTCTAGAGTGAAAAGAGGTGAAAAAGCAGCCAGTGTACAAAAAGGCTTTGAAAGACTCTCAGAAAGCAGAAAATCTAAATGTAGCAAAATCTAACAGGAAGGGTGGTTCAAAACAATGAGTACTTCATTATAAAACTTCACATTAGAGTGTGACAGCGTGTAATTGTTGTTATTTACAGACATGATTTGCTGCACATACTAAAGGCCTTTATGTGGGACCTTATATCACATATACACAGCTATCAGCCGACTCAAACACCATCAGTTTGTATTTGCATCCATTTTCTGCTGCTTCTGGGTTGCATCAATCTGGGAGCTCATGAGTTCCATAATATTCAGCAGTCGTATAATTATTTTGAGCAACTCTGTCTGTGCACACACAGGTCAGGCAGTGCCACAAGGTTCTCATGTGAGGCTGAATCTGCAAACAGGTGAGAGGGAGGTCAGACTGGGAGAAGAGCAGCTGAAATACTGGACAGAGGAGCACAGGTGGGGGTCTGCAGACAGTAGTTTATTTCTCTCCCTTTAATACTTCTTCCAGCAAAGTGCACCCAGTAGGGGGCAGTAGTAGGAAAAGATAAAATGGCTTTGCAGTAAAAGTGTACATTTGCAGGGAGGAAGAAGCGCTCCGGTCTTCCTTTAATCCCGATGAGCTGAAACGAGCCATGAAGAAGATAAAAGAGGACGGGAAGCTTGCAAGCAAGGACACAGAGCAGAAGGTAGCAGCACAAATGCCACTGTTGAACTTAAGTCTGATTACATGCTGGCAGCAGAAGCTTTAAGTGTCTCCACTGCTCGCTGTGCGCTTCTAGGACTCTGTGGCTTCTAAGTTTCGCACAATGGAGGAGTTGAAGAAAGACATGGCTCAGCTGGACCTGCTGCTGGAGACGGATGTTCAGGTACATCAGTGTTCTTGGATCTCATGTATGATTGTGACGTGACTTTGAGTGAGCTGTTACTGTGAAACGTTTTGAGCTTCAGTCAAATGAAGCTTCTTGCATGTGTAGATAATGAGGCGTCTGCTGGAGCAGTTCAACAGCAGCAACTCAACTATCGAACAAAGACTGAGCATCCTGACGGAGCTCGAATATCTGGTGCATCAGGTAATACACACACGGGATGATGTTTCACACTGTGGTGAATTTTCCCATCTCTAACCCTGCATGCATGCTTGTATGTGTGCTAGGTGGATAATGCTCAGACTCTGTGCTCCATGGGGGGCCTCCAGTTCATTTTAGAAGGTCTGAACAGCTCTGACTTCAGATTACAGGAAAGCTCTGCCTTTGTCCTGGGCTCTGCGTTAGCCAGGTATGATATTTAGACTTGATTAAGCTTGATTAGTCTGAGCTAGATGTTCCAGATATGCAGATATGTCACTTCTTGCTGTACGGTGGTGTCTATGATCACATCGAGCTTCTGTAGCTGTTTAAAATCAAAACAGGTGGTTTTACTTTTAAATACATTTTTGACTTTTCTCTACAAATTGTGCACAACATTATGTTTTGTTCTTGTTTACTATGTGACTGAATTGTAATGCAATAACCCTGTTTGTAATGACACTCCAACAGTGCTGCAGCTTATCAGATGAAATCGTATAATGTCACAGAACACTGGCTGCACAACATGTGCTACATCATGGTTTTGGGTTCTTTTTGGAAATGAATCAAATTTGAATTTTGAAAGCCAAGCAGCAACTTCCAGGCTTAGAAAAGTACCAAATAATAGTCAAATAAATAGTTGAATATAGGGCTGCCACAAACGATTATTTTGATAGTCGACTAGTCACCGATCGATTATTTTTGCGATTAGTCGACTAATCAGATCATCATCCATTGGACTTAAAACGTGCAGCTTATTGCACCAGCAGCATCTGCTCTTTTAAAACTATCATTAGCTTACAGCTTTAAGTGTTTAAGGTATGTGCTAACTAAAAATAAAGACAAGATGATAGTTTATTAAATTTTAATGAATTTTGCAGATTGTTTCGGTGAAGTTTAATAAACTCCTTGCTATCTAAAATATAACAGGACACTGGAGTAAATTCTCGAGCATCTCACACTTCTGATAATCAGCTGTCTGCTTGACATTTATTCAGCTGTGTAAAAACTATAACTTTAATCTCAGCCAAACCGATTTACTCAGGAACAAATAAAATACTAAAAAAGCCAAACAATAACATTTAAGTTATCTAAGTGACTTATATATCATGTTTAACCTGAGTAGCGAAAGACGGCGGTGGGTTTGAAACAGATTTGCCGGAGTCCGGTGTTCTCACGGCTCTAGTGAGCCTAGCCCCCGGCTAGCTATCGAGCTAGTGGGTAACAGACGTCTCTGAAAACGTTGGAGCGCTTTTGAAAATATGTGGTGTCTTGATAAACTGAGCAGATATTTGCGGTTTACACAGCTACATTCTCGCCTAAACGTTTATTTTGTGACCCAGAAAGAATAATAAGAGTAATATTAAAACTAACTAGCTGCCGCCATTGTTGGAAACTGAGCTGGGCTGCGCTATGAATTCTGGGACACAGCTTCTTCTTCTTCGGGGTTTAACGGCAGCTGGCATCCTTGTACATGCAGTGCTGCCATCTTCTGTTTCAGTCCGTTATTACACTCTTAAATCCTACTACTTATTCCTGCGTCTTTTGTGATCTTACAAAACTTCAAACGACGGTCGACTATTAAATCAGTCGTCGACGGTTTTGATAGTCGACTAATCGTGACAGCCCTAATTGAATATGAGACTTTCTGTCTTGAAAGTCTCAAATCTCTTCTGAGCAAAACACTTGAGTTGAAAGCAAACACGATCGTCAGCGTTGTCACACTTTGTGTGTGTCCTACAGTAATCCAGCAGTTCAAGTTCAAGCTGTGGAGAATGGCGCTCTGCAGACACTGTTAACCACGCTGGCCACTGCTCAGCAACTCAGAGTCAAAAAAAAGGTAAGCACACCCACACAGCTTCCAGTTTCTATTCAGAAAGTTGGAGACAACACGTTGCACAGAGAACTTGACAAAAGAAGGCAACTCAACTTGTTTAGGTTTGTGAAGATGATTCGCCTCTCATCCAGGAAACTCAAGACTACCATGACTTGTAAGAATGAGAACCTCTACAGACACACACACAGCTGAAGTGTGTGTGTGTGTGTGTGTGTGTTCGTTCTGTTTAGGTTCTGTTTGCAGTGGCTTCCCTCTTGCGTCACTTCCCCTATGCACAGCGTCACTTCCTGACACATGGCGGTCTGCAGGTCCTGTCAGAGCTGTTCAGGACTGACAACAGTGGGATTCTGCGTACACGCATCGTCACCATGTTATACGATATGATTACTGAGAAGGTACAGTAAACGCACGCTCCTGCTCCTAGATTCCAAGCCCAGTGCAGTACTCCTCTTCAAATACAAGCTCTAAATGATCTGAATGATTAAAGTTGGTATCAGTAGAAGGTTGGGACTTTCTAGTGCCCAGCTCGTGGGATCATTCTCATGATCTCTCCTCTTCCAGGAGCTGATCTTCCAGAGAGGTCTGGACCCAGTACTGGACGCGGCCCATGATGAGCGGCGGCGTCAGTACTCTAAAGTGTCTTTGCAGGAGGAGCTGTTGGAGAAGGGCTGGTGCATTCTGGTCCCACAGCTCCTGGAGTCTTCAGAGAACGACTACAGAGAGAAGGTGCTTTCATCTATTTTACATTAATAGTTTAACAACTGTTTAAAAGAACTTGCCCTGAGAGTCGGTGCTGTTCTATTGCAGGCTCTCCAGGCTTTGTTGGCAATGGCTCCAGTGTGTTTGGATGAGTACCGCTCAGATGGCTCTCTGCAGGCTTCTCTTCACTCTCTGAAGCAAGAGTACCAGGAAATGATCCAGTCAGAAATGATTCTAGGAGAAGAGAACAGCTACTTGGAGGAGATTGTAGAACTCATAGATGCACTGCAAGTGAAAATGAAATGATCAGAGGACAGCACTTTGACATTTCATATGAACATGGCGTACATCGAGGCGCTGCCACTTTCACTCTGCTGGGGTCAGACAGTCAATCGCAGAGCAGTGGACAAGGAACACAATTTTGAGGACATAACGAGTGAGCTGGAAGACAGATCTGCGATTGGTCAGCATGAACACAACCAACAAATACTTCATGTGTTGCCTAAAAATATTCTCCACACTTCTGAAGCTGTTCGTATCTGAGAGGTCACATCGAGAATGTTTTTGTGGATGATTTTACATCAATAACGTTGCTTTTCTTCTAATCACTGTGGTGAGTGGGTGGGGTGGTGTAGTCCAGGTATGTGCACATACTGACTGCACACACACCGCTAATCCCAAAGAACAGTGATCCCTGTTGCTGTATGGAGTCTCTTCTGGTTGCCGTCACAAGTGAATGTGTCACAGAAGGAATTGGTTCACAGTGACGGTGGCACGGTGATGGCCACGTAGTCCCGCTGCACGTTTGAGAGGAAGCAAGAGCTGGGTCATGTGCTTTGAAGCAACGCCACTTTGCCAGGATGTAACTGGCTTCACTTACTCTAACATTAGACATCAGGTTAGGTTACGTGCGCGTGTTATGGGTGTTTAAGTCAGAGTTTCATGCAGAAGGCAGCGTTGGCAACGTCTGACTGATCACAAACGTGGATGCTTACTGGCAGCAGAGCGACGGATTTTATGAAGACCGTCAAGCAACAGCTGCAGCATCTGAATGTGGAATAGTGCTGTACATTACAGTATTAAACAACACTGTGTGATTGCATGTTCAAGGTTAACCCTTAAGTTGCTGTGCTTATCCCCAGATCCCTCTGTATGCCTCATAAAACCAGCTCTTTGAGTTTTCTTTGGAAACGTGAGGGGACTGATGAGTATGTATGGTTGAAAATGAAATTGTAAAAATTTATTTTCAAAATAGGTTTTTGTGTTACTTGAGTACATGTGAAAATGCATTAGTCCAAATTCCATTTTCAAACAGACTTTGACTACATGAGGATGTAAAAACTGTTTGACATTTAATTTTAAAGTCATGCCGCTCTGTATGGTGGACAGTGTCAATGATACTGTAACATGAACGAGTGTTGTTGGTGGCATACACACAGAAGGACATCGTCTGCTGTGCCAGGTGTAGCAGTCCACTTCCAGCTCCTCTCTCCTCTAGGTCCCGACCTGAACCCACTGCACCACCCTTCCCTGCAGCAGAGCCACAGACCACACCCCACCACAATTACTCTTTATGTAACTTAGGCAACCTGACTTTCCATGTTCAAAACCAATAATCACATCCAATGGAAACACGTTTTTCATCTGTTTTAAAATAAGAAAACAGGATTGTATTTGAAATTTTATTTTCTAAGACTAATATGTTCTACTCTATAGGTTACAGGGCATTTAAGCGTCTGGTAATACAAGTTATTGCAGCTAACAAGAATGTGCTGCAAGTTGCAGCAGAATTTGGATAATTTAGCTCTTTTGGGGGTGTGGTGGGTTTTGTAGTAATATTTTCACTCTGGACTGATAACTTTAAAATATTAATGTGCTTATTTATTTGAAAAAGATGGTGTTCTGTTGATGTGTGTTCAAGAAAATAACTTGTAGCTCCACAATAAATAAAAAATGAGTGTTTCCAGACAAAAATGTTCATTAAACTTTATTTTAGATTCTCTCTGCTGTATTTCAGTAAGTGTGCAGACACTGTAGATGCACACTTACTGCACGAATGGTTCATAATGTTAAACATAGAGAACATACAAATAATTTGTTTATAAAATCGAAATATTTGAAATTTGAAGACTTAGTGAAATTACAGACATTATTATTCATGTTCAAGGCAAAAAAATAACACATTACCTCTTAAGTTACAAAGTTTGTTTGT